TTCCTGCTGCTACTGCGTGCACATGTTTTGGATATCACAAGTATATAATTATCATGGTTCACTAAATTCCAATGAGCCATATCTCAATTCATCCTGTCCTTCTCCTTAGAAATAACCTTTCTCCAAATAAATTTATAACAAATCCTTATCCCTGGAAAATATACAGAATCCTTTAACCAGAGTTATAGAGAGAACTGAAAAATCTTGCAATATAGTCTAACATTTTCTTGAAATGCTACAAATTATATCTTTTTTTTCCCTCCCCCTGAAAAATAGAAATTTATCAAATGGAATAGTTTATTTACCTTCTTGGAAAATACACGGACAATGATCATAAAGAAATTGATTCTGGAGATCTTTTTTCTGTTTGAAATTAAGGGCTTCAGCAAATGGCAAGCACTTGAGTATTTTACCTTGTCCTGTGCAGCTGATTATTTTAAGATCCTAGTGATGACTTTACTTTAAGATTGCCTGAGTTTTTAATTTATTTTGCTTAGTCTTAAGCATTATGGATAACTTATTCAGACTTTCAGAATTGTGTACACTTACATTTAGATTTTGGAAAAGAGCTGGACACTGGCAATGCACTTGCTATTCGCCTTAAGATGACTGGACTCCACGTCTGTTTGAGGTCAAAGGAAGATGTTTTCTTGATTCCAGATCAGCTCCTAAAAAAGTTGTTGGGGTTTTTTTTAAAGTAAGAATGTAAACTGTAACAGAACTGTCCCTACCCCCAGTTTCAGACATCCTTTTGCACAGATATTAAAAAATATTGATCAAGATTTTTCACCATTTTTAGATGTTTCAATTAAACAGGGGTTTTCATCCTTTTTTGGTTGGCGTACCCCTGGTGGCCAGTCCAAAAGCAGGGAGTCCCCTGGCCAAGCGACAAGCGAGGAGGTGGGGGGGAGGGGAGGGTCCCCCAGCAGCAGATAGGGGAGGGGGGTCCTCCGTGGCGAAACCAGAAGCACTGGCAGCAAACCCAGAAGTGCTGCTGGCAAAAGCGGAAGTGCCCCTGCTTCTCTGCTCTGCTGCCGCTGGGGGCTTCCCAAGTACCCCCAGCTGACAACCCCTGAATTAGCAGTTTGACTTTCAAAAAATGTTCTACACTTCAAAGCTCCCATTGACTCTAGTCATAATTCTTGGAATTTAGCACTTTTTAAATTCAGGCTACTGCTTTGGGTGTCTAAATTTGAATGAAAGAGCAAAACATTTAGCTTTCATGTTTGAGACTCTTGGTTGTTCTCAGGCTACCAATGTAAACTGTAAATCAAATGGATTTATATTTTTCAGAAAAGCTCTGTGAGTATTATTCCCCACACAGATCTAAGGAAACATTTTACACCTAGTGATCTGAAAGCACTGTACATTTATCAAGTTGTTGGTACAGATATGAATGCATTCCATTAAACTCATTCTACTGTACATTTATTATGTCAATGAAAACATATGCCCCTTGTTGCAGTGGGCTGCGAAAAGTCTTCATAAACTTTTATTTCAGTGTGATGTGCATGAATCTTGTGCAACTAAGCTCCAAATAGGAATGAGTTGGACACTGAAGCAATGAGAAGATACTAATATCTAACCATTGACCTCTTGTTTCATAGTATTTTGCATGCACTGCTGCTTTTACAGAATGCAAAGGATTTTGTGTCTATTATTCAAAATACCATAGTTTTAAGGCAAAAACTGTTGGCCACTAACACCATTGTCCCTTTTTTTAAATCATGCTATTGCCTCTGAATTTCCCCCTTTCACAGTGGCAGAATACTGCAGAAGTTAAACTCAACATTAATGCAAAGTTCTCACAAAAGCTCTACTGTCTGCCAACTTGTATGTAACCATCATTGAGTAATATGCAATGGATCCAAGGTTTGCTGAAGTTAATGAAAAGAATCCTGTTGACTTCATAGTTTCTCGGGTTGGAAGGGACCTGAACAGATCATCAAGTCTGACCCCCTGCCCTGGGCAGGAACGAGTCCTGGAATCATAACACCCCAGCCAGATATCTATCCAATCTCCTCTTGAAGACCCCCAAGGTAAGGGAGAGCACCACCTCCCTTGGAATCCCATTCCAGAGCCTGGCAGCCATAACTGTAAAGTAATGCCTCCTGATATTAAGCCTGAACCTACTCTCAATCAATTTGTGGCTGTTATTCCTTGTTATCCCAGGTGGTGCCCAGGGGAACAGGGCCTCACCTATTTTCCACTGGTCTCCCCTGGTGAGTTTATAGATGGCCACCAGATCCCCTCTCAGCCTTCTTTTATGGAGGCTGAATAGATTCAGGCCCTTTAATCCAGTTTATCTTTGTAGGGCCTGGCCTGCTGCTCCCTGACCATGCAAGTGTCCCTCCTCTGGACCCTCTCAATGCTAGTCACATCCCTCTTGAAGTGCGGTGCCCAGAACCGGACCCAGTGCTCCAACTGCGACCTGGCCAGTGCCGCATAGAGGGGAAGGATCACCTGCATGGACCTGCTTGTGATGTATCTGTAGATGCACAGCAAGGTGCAGTTAGCCTTACTGACTGCCTCCTCGCCCTGGCAGCTCATGTCCATCCTGGAGTCAACAATGACTCCAAGATCCCTTTCAGCCACTATGTTGTTGAGAAGGGTGTTCCCTAGCCTATAGGTGTGTTGCAGGTTCCTTCTCCTTAGATGCAGCACCTTGCACTTGTCTGCGTTGAATTCCATCTTATTCTCGTTCACCCACCTCTGTAACCTGTTTAGATCTAGTTGTATTTTGTCCCTCCCCGCCAGTGTGCCCACTTCTCCCCACATCTTTGTGTCATCAGCAAATTTGGACAGTGTGCTTTCACACCCACTTCCAAGTCACTGATAAAGACTTCAGAAGGCTGATCAGCTGGAAGAGATTTAGGGTTCAGTCTTGCAAGTTGCTGAGTGTTGGTTTCAGTGAAATAGTCCATGTTGCTGTGGTTAATCACATGCTTAAGTGCATGGCTGGATCAGGGCAAAAGAGCCCAGCATGTTGCGTTATTAAACCCTTTTAAAGAGGAGGGTAAACAATACTTCCCCTTGGCAGCTCGCTATCCATTTACATAAAGTACAATGGCACAGAGTATTAAAAAAGCGGTACTTGAACAAACAGAACTCTTCTTCCCACGCACTGGTTCGTTTACTAGCCCAATGCCAGTAGAACGTTGTGGGGCTATATATAAGGAAATAAGAAACCACTCTTTAGTATCCAGATGAGTCAGAAACATGTTTGCTTAAAAGTCTAAGTAATATAAAATGCCATAGCAGTGGTCAGCAATGTTTTCTGGCAGCAGGTCAGAATGACCCACCATGGGTCTGAGGTATGCCAGCGCTAGGACCCAGCCATGGCCACCATCACTGCTTCTCTTGGCCGCAGTGTGGGCAAAGCTCCTTGCCACTGAATGCTACCAAATCTCCCAGATTCACAGGCCAGATTTAGCACATAGGCCGTAAGTGGCCAACCCCTGCTTACAGAACCAAAGAAATACTAAATCTAAGAACACTATTAAAAGTTTTCCTTATTTTTTTCTCTCTTCCCTCCACCCTGCTATGATGTTTTATTAGATATTAAAACATAATGTACTATAAATAAGAGCTAGTATCTTATAGGAGTGGAGGCAATCTTTACAGCAAGTATGCCACAAATTAGCCCTGCATCTTCCCTGAGTGCCATTTTGATCCTTTTTTCCTGCCTTAGCTGCTGCTTTGCTTTCTGCTTTCTGCCCTGCACTCCCTTCCTGATCTGATCTATTCTTAGCTCTGTCTTCCATTGTACTGCACATCCTCTGCCCAGTATACTGCCACAGAAGCTGGTGGTGCCACTTGTGGCATCCATGCTGCCTGGTAGCCATCACTGGTAAAGAACACCCCTGAAATATGCAGCATTTGGGGAGTTGGAAGCAAAAAATTATTACTGTTTTTTTTCTTTTTCTTTTATTTTTTTTAACATGTCAAACTAGAAAATAACTCTTAATTCAGTGTTACTCCACTCCAGCCTTTCTGAAAAAATGTTTGAAGGGCATTCAGCAGAGTTTGGGATTTAACTTGTCAATTTTGAAGAGACCCATTCTGACCAGAAATTGAGAAAGTTTTGTAAAAATGATAGACAAGGTTCCTTGGGTTATTAGACCAACCCAAATAGTTGGAGAATAGTTATTAAGCTGTGAGAGTTTGAGATTGCTGAATTTTTTCATATTGCAAATATTATGATTTGTTTGGCGAGGAGACTGCATGCACACAGTACCAGCTCTTTGCCGTACATTTTAGCAATAATCTTGAGAGAGATCCTTTAATTCTTAATTAGCTCCTTTTTGTGAGACCCATGTTGTAGTCCCCCAACTTCAATGAGATTCTATACAGAGCTAGTTGTTCTAGGAATGGAGCCATGGTTTGAAAGCCTTCATGGTGCTGGTTTCTCTTCTTTAAAATCTACTTCTTATGTGCTTGTTGCTGTCTAGGTAAACTACCATTTTGTGCCATGGGTGTAAGCTCTGTTATCCACCCGAAGAAAACTCACGTTCCAACTATACACTTCAACTACAGATATTTTGAAATTGAGCAAGCAGATGGTAAGATTCATAATCTCAAGTGTGTTGAAATATGGACACAGACTTGATTTGGAAGGAGCATAATATTGTGGTTAGAGCAAAGAATTAAGACTGGCTTTAGTTCTGTTTCCAGCTGTGCCCTAAGTTTATTAGATCACACTGGGCAATTTGAACCTTAAGCCTTTGTTTATGCTTTTTAAAAAATGTGTATAATAATACTTGCAACTACCTTAAAGGCATTTACAACTTAATTGCTGCTTGTAAAGTGATCAGTGTAGGATATTGTAATTCTAATTGTTTAAGACTGAGTATAACATGAGTGAGATATAATACCAAGCCAGATAAATGTTAATAATCCAATTCATGGGAAAATCAGAGTTTAAACATCTTTCCTGATTATTGACAGTAATTCAAACTGACTCTGTCCTTTCTCATGGGGTTAAAAATTGTAAAATGTAATAAATGTGAATGTACCCTTTTAAAATAGCCGGGCAGATAGAGAGAGAATTCTGTGTGAAATTTGGTTTATTCAGAAAAGTGTAGGGATTGCAACGTTGTTTCTCTTTTTCAATAAAGAAAAAGGGGAATTTAGGGTCTTGTGGTCCACATCTGACAATCCCT